TTCCTGGTAGTTCCGTCAGTTCTTTAGCATATGGTTGATCCAGTTACGGAGCACCCGGTCAACATGAAACTGATCTGACATGAAACTGATCTTCGGATTGGATAAGAGTATCAGTGTTCACGTTATTGAAGGCAACTTCGATGCCAGTGTATAACTCCAGTGTAAACAGTTTGCTATCGAAATGTTTTACATATATAGGGGACAATTTCATTCAACGCGGTTTCCACTGATTGTCCCTTTGCATAAGCATGCTGATTCTATTTGAGGCCTTATATATTAACTAGGCTTTCCGGGTTTGGGTATAAATATTACCCCTTGCATCCTGCCATTTTGAACATCTTTGAGAGATGAACTGAAACCAGTTCCGCTTACATCTGTAAAAGTACCAGGAATATAACGTTCAATTCTGAAGCTTTATAGAGTGCAGAGCTCTTGATTTTCTCCTTAACCATGCCAGTTTTAATGAATATCTCTGTGATAGCTCCTCTTACCAGGAAATGAGAATACATCTGGAGTTGAATGGTTTCATCCATATCCTTCAGTCTCCTGTTCATGTTATCGATCATAGATTCCGGTTTCTAGATGTCTCAATTTTCTTATATCCAGCAATTTTACTACGATACTCATTCCACTATACCGTGGACCTTTTAGGATGAGTTTGGTCTCTTGGTATCTGAGCTTGAGCTAAAGTGCCTTATAGGGTCTTAGAAGAAATGAGTTTGAATCGTATTACTTGTTTGCCTGTTAATTTTTATGCATATTGGTTATCAATTTCTTAAACTTAATAAGTCAAAAAAAAAACTTTATATAAAAGCTAATTTTTACTTGTATTCACACTAAAAGTTCTACTAGATACTTGATACAAAGTTACTAAAAACTTTATAGTCATTTCATGCCATTTTTAGTTAAAAAACAAAAATAAAAAATAACATTACGTTTACACCGGAAACACTTACTTTTATGCACACACATACATATACATATTTAACTAAACATATACCTTGTAAAATTAAATACGAAATGACTGTTGATTTTCCGCAGGTTTAAGTTTGTATTTTTTTGTTCCTTTTCTTTTTTTGCTCTAATTTATTTTGCCTTATATTTTAGTTGTATTTGTTTTATTAATGTCTGCAGGAAGCAAAATACTTGTAAATTACAATTAAAATGTTTAACAACACGTCAACACGAACTGTAAACGTTTTTCCGCAATTTAACTGATGATTAATGCCCCCACCTTTTTATTTCCGGTTTAACGGTTATTCGTTTATTTTTTATTATCCTTAAATGTACAAACACATAAAAAAGGGCTGGTTTTACAATTATAAACTTTAAAAGTCTCTTTAAATAAAAATTTTGTAGTTTAATTTTTATTAATTTTTACAACTCCTAATTAGAGGGCCGGAAATTGAATACAATAGGGGAGGGGATTTCTTTACAAGGTTTAGTTTTTGCCTTTGCAATTAAAGGTAATAAATTGGGGGGATTTAAAATCATAAATTTCTTAATAATAATCTAATGACATTTGGCTCAAAGAGTTGCTGAAGACAGACAATTAAAAGTACTTATTAGTTAATTTCTGCCACTTAAAACATACATATTTATTTGTATTAGTAATTTTTATTATTTAGAATTAGTTTTAACAATATTTATTTTACAAGTACTCGATGATGATTTAATAAATATTAAATTGTCCTGTTCAATTTGTTTGTCTTGTTTTTTTCCCCCATTTCTAAGAACATTTCTGCCATTAAATGAAAACATTGTCTTACAATAATAAAGAGTTTAGTGAAAATATCATTGCTTTCTAACATTGTAGTTATTGTAATTATCTCTGAATATTATATTACATATTTACTTATGATTTTATTATAAAAAAAAGAAACGGGGTGGAATAATTTCGCAAATAACCCATTCAAACGCATGTCTTTGTTCGATTTTAATGATTTTCCCTGCATTGCAATGTGTTAGAGGTCGCACACGCAATTCATACAGAGACATTGATCCAATTAATCGATAGAGTTAAATATCCTACTTGATAACTTTTAGGTGCTTTTTTTGGGGTTTCAAGTCTAAACCTTTTCCTAAAGGGACTTTATTAAGGCTAATTTTTTGGCAAAATTTCACTATTTTCCAAGTCCTTAATGAATCTTGTAGAAAACTTCAAATAGCTTTTTATTCTTCTCAATTTTTATACCCACCATCAATGAAAATGGAAGATACAAGCCGACTCGGCTCAAATTGCCGGCGGCTGGTTGCCGTCCAAATTTGTTCAAACTGCGGCGCCGCTGATTCAAAAACTTATATTTTTCTTAAAATGAAAACGAGTTGTCAAACTCAGTATCTTTTCCAAAAATAGCTTTAAACTCTAGAATTTTGGATAATTTTCTATTGGAAAACTAATTATTTTACTAATTTAAACACAAATCTATCAAATATATTCAATATAGGCCTAATTGTTTTCGAGATATAAAGCATTATGTTACATCGACACACATATTAGGCAACGTCTACAGCAGTGAGCCGGCGGCTGTCAACCAGTCAGCACACCTAACATAAAGGATGATCTACAAAGACATCAGGTTGGTCCAGTTATAGAAAGGTCACTCAAAGTTAAACGTTAGGTCTTTATACTATTAGACATAGAAGATGCCTTTAATGACGTCACTAACTACTTCTGCAATTCAACAAGGTCCCACTAACTTGGATATCGAAGGATATATTAGCAACTGGCTAGTAACAATGTTGAAATCAAGAATTGTTACAGAACGAGGCGGCGTTATCTCTCCACTAATTAGGCACATTGATGTTAACACGATCCTTATTGAACTGGACAAAAGAGATTTAAAAGTTGTTGATTACACGGACGATGCTGTGATACTGGTAACAGGATTGTTTCCAGACGTAATTAATCATATCGTGCCTAATGATCTGGTCCTAATCAATAACTTGGCCACAGACCGTAGCTTTGGAGAAAATCCAAGCAAGAAAGAACTGGTGCTCTACACAACAAAGATGAAAATTCCAAGCTTCCCTTCCTAAAGATTTCCTTATCAAACAATGCCAAAGATTTAGGAATTACACAGGCCGATAAATGTCCTGAAGTTTGAAAAAACGCCATTTTTGGCCCTTTTTGAGATGTTTTAACAGCGCCAAGATAAACTTGATTTGTAAAATGTTGTATGCCATCTGAAACTCCCTTCAGTTAGCTTTAAAATGAAGGTTTAACATCTGACAGATCTTCTTTCTTCTTCGAGATATCTGCACCTTAAGCTTGGTATAACAATGAATTGAAAAAACTTTTTTGTTAAACCTTTAGAAAAGTATAATTGGTTCTCAGGGTTTTGACTTTTTTCGACTTTGTTTCGACTTGTTGTTATCCTAGACTTCAATGGAAATTGAACATTCAACACAGAGTCAGAAAAGCAACGGTTTTCTAATACACCTGTCGTAAGAGTTTTGGATTAAAGTGGGGTCTTAGTCTCAGCATAGTTAAATAATTGTAAACAGCTATAGTACGTCCTATTCTATCACGTGGATCTCGTATATGGTGAACTTTAACTAAAAAGAAATTTGATGTTAAACAACTATACAAAGTTCCGAGATCAACATGTATTGAAGTAGCAGGTGCTCTAAGAACTAGTCCTTCATCTGCCTGCAGTACTGCAATGTTTAACTCATCTAAATGTTGGAAACCAAGAACGTTTGGACTTGGTAGTATTCTAAATCAACAACTCCAATAATGTCAGCTTATAGAACAGTATAATATATATAGTAATATCTGTCAGACAATGCAAGAAGGATTTGTCTAGACTAGATCATCTATCCGACATTACTCTAATATGGGTCCCTGCGCATAGAGACTATGGCAATGAGCAAAAAGATGAGCTAGTCAGATCTGAGATCTGCTCTGTCTCCAGCGTTATTTCATTTCAACTCCGTTGGATTCTATCAAGAGTAGGACTACTTCCTATCCAACCTTGGTGAGTTATCTGGGTCAAAACTTAAAGACCTCCAGAGATTTCTCACTGATTTAGATTGGATTTAATATTACAACTGAAGATTGCAGTGTTCGTGACAGTAGCAACTCCGTTGGGTTCTATCAGAAATAGAATCCTCTGGTTCTTTTCTAAAATAGTTAAAAATAGATGGATTAATCTGGACACATGTAGAGGGGGAGGGGCATATTAGTATGGCCTTCTTTCAATTAGAATCGATCGTCGTTAGGAAGGCACGCAGTAGCATGGACAGTGAAAAAGAAGAAACGCTTCCATATTCTCTGCGAATGCCCTGTTCTAGCCGCCAAGAGAAAAATAATCTTTGTCAACTACTCCTTTCCAACCTTGATGAGCTATATGGGTCAAAATATAAAGACCTCCAGAGATTTCTCACTGCTATAGACTGGATCTAATACTACATCTGAAGAATGTAGCTTTTGAGTCAAAACGAAATCCTTTCGACTCTATTTGACTGTTTGTGGGATGCAACTGAGCAACCCTTGTTATATTCTGAGTCATTATTAGATGCTAAGACAATGAAATCGTCTGTCTCTTAAAAGCACCATAGGATCGGCATTATCAACAAATATTCTCTATTGCAGAATTTATCAAGGATTGCCTTCTGACAACTAGAGGTTTTAAATAGACCTTTTAAGACTTCTGAAGTGTAAAATTCAAAGACCGAAAAGCTTCTTTCAGTCTATTATAGAGAGAGAGAGTCGAATTTTTCCAGTTTTCTCTAAGAAGAAATAATGTATAAAAGAGGTCGAATTGGTCTTGCGTTGTTATAACAACTCAAATATGGCTGGATGGGGTTTTTCTAACTCTAAGACACGATATCTCGGAATGAGAACGTATTAGAATACAGTGCAGTTTAATTCTTTTGGAAACGTATACCTTGGTCTTTGCTTACCTTATTAATTAGCAAATAATATTTAATTTAAGAAACAATTTATTTAATTTATTAATTAATTAACTTAAAATTATTCGTTTACTATTTTCCAGATGCCAGTGCAGCTCAAGACACCGGCGAACAAGGCAACGAATGGAATCGTACACAGAATCAAAACAGTGCCAGCGGCGGCGGTGGACGCATAGGTGCCGGCTCGGCGAATACAAACGTTATCGATATGCAAAATGCTGGAAAAATAAAATTCGATCCACCCAAAGTCCCAGTGATATTTGTTTTAGGCGGCCCAGGTAGTGGCAAAGTAACCCACTGCGATACATTCATGCAGGAACGCCGTGGGGTAACACACATCAATATGATGGATCTCTTACAACAATATGCCATGGGGAACGGTACAAATAGAATTTGATTTTTTTCTTAACTCAACTAATAACTATTATAAATTAAATTTAATCCTTAGATATGCAAGATTTTTCCCAATTATCTTCAAAAACTGTAACCGAAGTTTTAATGTTAGAAATGAAAATGGCTCCAGCTGCCAAAGCATACCTAATCTCAGGATATCCACGTTCAATGCGAGATGTTGTCGAATATTCCGAAAAGGTAAAGTTTTAACAAAAAAAAGAAAATTAACATTTCAGCGAAAAGAAAAACCTAAAGAAGGGTGTTTCCCCGAAGTTTATAAGTTTTATCGTGTCCTTTTGATATTCGTAACAAAAATATTTGTTTTAGTGGCCAAAGAAAAACACAATTGACATAAAAAATACACACAAAAACAATGGAAATATGAAAAGAAACCTTCTCCCATCGGCTTTGTACAAATACGAACTGTGGTCGTTTGGTCTCTATAGTTCTATTCAATTATTTACACAATAAATTGTAATCAAGTTTCAGTGGCACAGTTGTTTCCAAAATCTCTAGTGGTGTTTTACCACCTTAGCTAAGCCCCCCACCACCAAACTACTGCCTAAGGACTTTGGTTTTGTTGTGTCTTTATTTTGTTGTAGTTGTCGCTTTTTTTTCGAAACGAAAGTTTCTCTTAATGTTTGTTTTATTGTTGAAGAACATTCAAACTGGTGAATTAATTAAAATGTTTAATTATTAATGAAGCATTCATCATTAATAATGACCAACTGAACTGAACTGAACTGGCCCTGAGAAGGACGGACGGCCTTTTTCTTTTTGGTGAATAAACAATCAATTCTGTTCATAATCAATTCTACTAAATACTTTTTCTACATATTCGGTGAGTGCTGCACAGGTTGTCTGTGTGTGGAGGTTCCCCTCTCCCCCCGTGACACTAGTTTAAATTTCCGCCACTTAGCATGTTTCAATTGTTTGTTTGTTATTTGTGTGTGGGCGTTTCTTTGACATTTTCATAAATTGTGGGAAAACTACCAAGAAGTTTTTCTTACAAAAAGGATATTTTACATTTAAAATATTTATTAATTTAAAGAATTTTTAAGCAGCATGTCAAAGACCAATAACAAGACTTTGTCAAGGTCATAATTAAACTAGAAAGTATATACTTACACCCCTTTTTTCTGGATTTTAATGTATTTGTCTTAAATATTTAATTCATGAATAATGCTCGAGTTTCTTCATTTATACACCCACCATTAAAAAAGGGATATGTTGGACATAGATCCTTAAAACTATATCTCTGAAACCTCTGTCTGTTGTTAATACGTTAGGGTCATTCAGGAGGGTCTTGAAAACTTAAATAAAACTCCTAAATCTTACTGTCCACTTGAGCCTCCATCAGCTCCATATAAAATCTCTTCCAGGTAATCTACTTATTGTTAATAAAATATTTATATATATATATTACTTCCAAACCGTTCACCTGAAAGTCCAGTTTCCCGACTTTTCAAAATAAAGGGGATCTGATTTTCACAAGAAACTCAATTTAACGAAAGTTTTTATCTATGAATGCAGCAATTCAATGTTTCTCCTCCAGGTCTTACCGGAAGCGCAAGTTCCTCTTATACTTTGTAGATTCAGCTTTAATGCTTGGCGTGCTATATTACGACAAGGTCTTCGATATATGCATATCACCTATCGAAACCCCTTTTCCGTTCTCTAATTTTAACTAATTCAGGTTTATAGCTCTGGACCATCATATGCCGATTAGATCTCTTAGTTAGTGAACGTTTGCAATGTTTTATCAATTATTTCAATGACCCAAGACAGATATAGAACAAAAAGGCATGTTCATTAATACGTATCGATTAAGAAATTCTTAAAAAGGCTGTTCCTCGGGACACGCTAATGAACATATATACATATGTAAATGGACGGTTGGGTCAATTATAGATCGATTGTCGTAAAATTTTGTGCATACATACATAGATTTTGGTTCATATAGCGCTTATTTGTTTCGATTTTCATCACTGTACTATCACTTTTATGCCAGTAATTAGCGTTACAGTAATTTTCTGAAGGGGCCCTTATATGGAGAGTCAATTAGGAACCGATTCTAATAAAATTTAGTAGACAAATTTTGGGCTCGTTTAAATTTATTTGTGTCGAAATTCATCACTATTTTTAAGCCAGTAATGCGCGTAAAAATCATTTTAAGGCGGACCTATATGGGTGTAGGGTCAATTATGGACCGATCCTCAAAAAATCCTTTTGTCAAATTTCATCGCTATGCTCGTATTTTTTATACAGTAATGAGCGTTAAAGTAGCTTTCTCAAGGGGACCTTATATGGGGGGAGTAGGGTCAATTATGGACCGATCCTCATAAATTTTGGTGGAGAGATTTTGGCTCATATGAAACTCCTTTATGTCGAATTTCATCGATATATTCGTAAATTTTAGCCGGTTATAAAGTAATTTTCTGAAGGGGACCTTATATGGAGGGTAAGGTCAATTATGGACCGTTGTTCATAAAATTTAGTAGAAAGCTTTTAGATCGTACGAATTTCATTGCTATACACTTATTTTCAAAGCAGTTATGACTGTTAAAGGCTGTGTTTCGAGGGGCCACTTGTATAGAGAAAACGTGGACCGATATTACCCATTTTCAATACCAAACAAACCTTCTAACCCTCTAGCTTTCTCCGTTCGGACTTTATCGTGTTTTCAACAGACAGAAGGATCTTGGGTTTTTGACCAAAATTTCGATGTGTTACAAAATGAATGACAAAATCAATATTACCCCCCATCTTTTTTGATGGCGGGTATAAAAATTAAGAAAAACTAATAACAAAACACGTGTTTTTCTTTTCTTTTTCTAACGTAAAAATCACTGTTGCCAATTTAGCTATTTTCTCGTCAAATCTAGCGATTTTTAATCCCATTTTGCGGGGAAAAATATGATTTAGCTATTAGCGGGAAATCTAGCGATTTTTCTTTAGATTTCAAAGCATTTTTTATTCATTTATATTTTGATAATATCGCTTAAATGTTGCTACGAAAAACGAATATTTAATTATTCTAGTCTTTTAGTAACTGAGTGATATTATAATAAAATTTACCATAATTCTAAAAATTAGTGAACATTGGATATAAGTGACGAAAGGATCGATCCATAAAGTCCTAAAAATTTACAACATTTCTAAGGCGTATAGGGCCGCATATCGATATTGCAGATAAACTTCCCACAAAAGGAGTGTATAATAATAATCTTGGGTGCCCCGGTAGGCTAGTTGGTAGTGTGCTAGCCTGTCAGTCTGGGGGTTGTGGGTTCGATTCCCAGCAGAGATCCTGGTCTGCTACACTACAACGGTCGTATGGTTATCGTCACCCTGCTCGGTAAATTAGGTTAGAATATAATTTGTAATTGTATTGTAATGGAAAAATAAATAATACTCTTATGCCGAAAATAAAGGATCGATCCATAAAGGCCAGCATTTCGAAATTCAATTTATCTTTACAACATTTCCAAAGCAATCTGTATAGGGTCGCATATCGAAATTAACCTCAACTTGACATTTTTCCTAACCCGAAGTGAAAATATTTAACATAAAAAAGATTCTCTTATGTGTTTGTTATAAGATGTATTTGTATCACTATCCCATTCCTGCGTATGTATATAGATTTTAGCGATAAATCGCTGACTTTTTAGAATAATATAAAAAATCTGAAAAATTTAGCTAGTTTTTTTAGCTATTTCTTTTCAGAATCATAAAATAAATATTATTTTGACGATTTATCGCTAAATTTTTCAAAATGTATTGAATTTAGCTATTTTTCAGTCGACTTTAGCGATATTTTTGGGAAAAAGTTGGCAACAGTGGTAAAAATCGAAATTCCACCGCTTTAGTAATACTTGGACATCAGGATCAGTGTTGCCAGAAAAATTTTGACTTATGTCCCCAATCTTAAGCTTGAAGTCCCCAAATAATCCCCATTTTTAAATTGAAATCCCCATAGTTTTCCCCAATTTCTTTCATGAAAAACTGACATGTTCGTCACAAGTATTCTCCATTGATAGGCACTGCACAGTGGGGTCTCCCCGAACAAATCTTGGCATTAACTAAACTACAAAGTTTTGATACAAGTGATTGGTAGCGTTAGAAAGGGGAGAGCTTCTAGATTTGAAATATTAAAAAAGAACTTTGAACTTAGTGCAAATTTTCGCAAAAAATACACTATGTATTTTCATATTTTTTGGATCATTAGCGCTAAAAATTACTAATAATTCCAGCAAATACTTGGTAATGACTTTCAATTGTAACCACTTACCTATTAACATAGTTTTCAATGACTAATATATATAGTCCTGTTTACATAGAAGTAGTCTAATAACGTCTTATTAATAATGTGATATATAACTACTTTTTAATTCATTTGTCATCTTCTTCGTGAAGCTATCGGAGCTGTATAAATTTGTTCATACAATTTAAATTGACTTATTTTTCTAATTACTTGTAAGCGATTGTGGTAAGTACTTGCACAGTCAAGTACAAAATCTCTGTGAATTTTTATTTAATTTTTCTTTCAAAAAAGCTATATATATGGTAAAAACGTATGAAAAAGTCTTTGAAATGTTTAGTGAAATCAATTTTAGTTACTCGTTAACTATTGGAGAATTATTTAAATCAATTAATTTTGTGTTTAATAATTCGATTTTTTTAAATAAAATACAAATGTTTTAATATTTTTGTTTTATGGAGTGTTAGAAAAATAAATAAAAAATGCCATAGAGGCAAAAAATATAGATGTGGTGATATTAAGAACACATTATAGTATCTTACATATGTATATGGTTGCCGAGTTGCCATCAGCGGCCAAATAGTACTTTTTCTCCTTTAAAAATGGCAAAAAAACATAAATATATATATGAAAAGTGGCATTTTAATAAGTAATGAATAATTGAATCCTATTGTGTAATGGTTATTTAAAATATAATTTTTCATACAAAACAACATTATATTTGGACTGAAAATTAAAATTTTAAGAAAATTTATGGAATGGTAGTTTTTTATATAAAAAAGGTAAAGGTATTAATTAAAAAAAAAAAAAACAATATGAAAAATTATATATAAAAAACCTAAACTTTGATGCACAACCTAAAGGCCTACAAAAGGAAAATCGAAAAACTAATTATAGCGTTATATAGAACAAAGTCTTGGCTTTTAAGATACGCTATATTTTTTGCAAAAAAATAATTTTTAAATATTGACTTTTTGCCAAGTTTACTTAAAGGAGACCCCAATGTGCACTGTTTGCTTTTAAAAATGGGCAGTATCGGACTTCGATTTTTACATAGCCCTCACACATATATTAATTATGAAGCAATCGTGGTAAAATTTTACACAAGTTAGGTTTTGTACACAGAAAAAAATAATACATAGCTGGAATGAATTTTGTAATAAATAGTATGAATCGAACATGACTTTTTTTCCCAAACCATTTTCATTTAGAATATTAAGAGTTCATAAAATGTATGAATTTCAACATGACAGAATTTTTTTGGCTTTTACTTATTTTCTATGATATTCTTAAAAAATTGCAAAAAAAAGTCCATTATCTACAAATCTGTTTCCATATCTTGTAAATAGTGATCCTATATTAGCAAATTTTGTATGATAATTAAATAGAAATGTTGAAAAACAAAATCTGAAATAAGAAAACATCAGCAAACATAGTTAAACATCCATTCTTCATCAAATCCCGCAAATTACGTGCACATCCCATCGATTTCAATCTAAAAATCATAAAGAAATAAAAAATTTTCCAAAGAAAATTTCAAACATTTTTTAACAAATAGAAAAATAAAAATTAAATTTGAAATATTTTAAGTCAAGGCTTCTAGATTATGTTTGAAAAAATAAAAATGAAAAAATTCATACCATTTAGGAACTTATTCTTAAATATTATTAACTTTTGTCAATGAAAGCAGTTCATAATATTTATGCTGAAACTTTTTTCTGTGTACCAAGAAATTATGCTGTAAGAATGGTAATCATTGGGCCACAGTTAGCCCCCATCAGGGTTGGCAAAGTTGGCACAATTGTACTTTTTGGTACAATTCGATGCTTAAAAGTACAATGGTAGTACACCAATCACTCATCTGAGATTTTGTCAGCATCTCTGCTAAAAGTTGAAATTTTCGAAAAATTTAGTAGACTCTTCTAATACAATAAAACTATATATTTTAATTTTTGCTAATTGATATGAGTTCCTTTTTGTATGAAAAAATAATAAATTAGCAAAATTATAAAATTATTGTTTTTGAAAGTAGTATGAGTCCATTCAAATGTGAAAAAATCTAGTATTTCCGCAATATCTATTAAAGTTTTATGCAATATAAAAATTTTTATTGCATTTTAGACCAAATACATGTAAAATAGCTTTACACAGATCAGACTAATTTTCTATGGAAAATTGTATGCTGAATATCTTGGGAGCAGATATAACATCCCTCACGCACACTGATTGGAACATTTTAAAGAACTCCATCTAGAAACAGAGTTTCTGTACTTCGGATAAGGAGAGCTCAACAGGTACTATAGTGACCTAAGAGTATTTCTTAGGATTTGATGTATTATACATCCTCCTCTCAACCTAACCTATGTATAGCTTGAAATGTTTTTGTTTCGATTAAGCACACTCCCACTTTAATATTAATTTAGTAAAATAATTATGATTTGGTACAATTAGAAGCAAAAATGTACTATTTTTCACGCAATTTTGTAAAATTTTAAAATTTAATTTGCTATCCCTGGCCCCTTCAAAAAATAACTTTAACCCTTTATAGTCCAAGAGCTGAAATCTTTTTGATTTTTTGTGACATGATAGAATTCGGTAAATAGTAAAATACGTTTTACTCAGAAATTTAAAATTTTTTGTTATTAGCGTTTTATTAATGATTTTTTGATTGATTTTAAAATCGATTTTTATGATACAAGAAATTTTAAATTGTTTATTTTTTTTAATTAATAATAAATTTACACAAAATTGTCTACAAAATCTTATAAAAACAACGAAACTTTTTTTCCCCTTTTATAAAATTTTTAAAAATCGAAATTATCTTACCAATTTAGCTTGAACACAAAATTTAACTTTTTATCAAAACTGAAAATTCAATTTAGCATAAGTGAATAGTTTTGCCACATATCATGTTAAAATACATACATACATACAAAACAGTTAAGTGGAATCTCATGAATGTGCTTCACTAATTTGATTCGAAAATAAGTGCCTAGGACCTATTTTAGAGTCAATTTTTGGGTTTGTTACAGAAATGTTACACGCTATAAAGGCTTAAGTTCATGATTGGCTTCAAAAAGCCTGTATAAGAACGATATTCTACACAAACAATTGTTATATGAATCAAAATCTCTCTACCAAATTTCATGTGGGTCAGTCCATAATTGACCGAACACCCCATATTACCTCTCTTACAACAAATCGGTTTACTGTAGTGAATCGTTCAAAAATTAATGTACTATAAGATTTAACAAAAATGATATGAAACTAATAACTCTTTCAAATTGTGTAAACCTCGGTACATAATTAATGGACTTATTCCGAAAATCTCCCTGATGTTCATATTAATATCAATATATCGACACCCTATATTCAAAAAATGCTAACTCAATCTTGGGCCAGAGTGAGTTTTTGATGGCAAATGATTCCTCAATACATTCTCCACGTCTGGTATAAATTTGGGATCAAAATATTAACTTTTGTGCTTTTTGTATCTGTTTTGTCTACTACACAAAGTAGAATATTTTTTTAAGAAAATAAGTGCTATCTCCCATAGTAATTTTACAACATTTTTTGAAAGATTAATTTTATTAAATATTTATCTCCGCTATTATAAAATATGAACAGGAATCTGTTTAATAAATTGGAATTCAATATTTAGTTTCGGAAATATAGTCATTTTTATTTTACCAATAAATGTTTCAATTTTAAAATTTTCCTTTGAATAAAATGTGCTAACTAAAGATAAATCCTTGAAAAACACAAAATGTATTAATTTGTATATAATTATAAATTGGTAAGATTATTATAAACATATTATGGAAAGAAAGTTATTAATTTGTTCAACATTATAAAAATTAAACAGTTTTTTTCCTCTCCTGAAAACTAGACATTTTTGAATTAGCACTTTTTGAATATAGTGTCTCGAAATGTGTAATTTTAAAAATTTTCGAACATGATTCTCTGATTTCGATGAAATTTGGTATACACATTTTTTGTATCAATACAAAATTAAAAGTTTTCCAAATATTTCAAATTCGTTACGGTTTAGAGGTTGAAAATCCACATTTTTTCTCAAAGGCATAAAATTTAATATCGTATATTTTCTAAACTACTTTTCCGATTTTATAATTTTTGTATCTTCCATTTTTACTACACTAAAATATACAACATATACAAACAACAGAATGGGACCATGAGGGGATCTCTAGAAAGTTAACTTTTAGTAAAACAGTCCATATCATTTCTATACAAATTTAAAAATTTATACTTTTGTTCATTGATGAAAAAAAAATAATTTAAACAAAAAATAAATAATGTGAATTAATTTACTAAAATTCAATTTTCTTGCGATCTCCTCATGAACCCATTCTATTTTTTTTGTGATATAATTGCCAAGCTACTTTTAAAATTGTTTAAACCTAGAAAACCCATAAAAACTAGACTAGAAATAATAATAATGTTAATATTTTTAAGAAAAAATAAAAATCCCCAAAAATAGCGGAAAAATTACAAAAAAATCCCCAAATTTTACGAAAATCCCCAAATCCCTCCCCATGAAAATCTGTCCCCAAATAAAACTTGAAATCCCCAATTTGGGGACAAATCCCCACATCTGGCGACACTGATCAAGATAATGCTTAAAATACTAAATGAAATTTATTATTTATGACCCTCCTTACGGAAGGTCTATGAAAAAATTGTTTTTAGACTCATTAGAGTGCTCCTCTCCACGGAAATCTTTAGTAAAAGGCGAAAGATTTATTCGACAACTGAAGAGAAGCCAGAGTAAAGAAACCAGACACAAACTAAACACTATATTTCAAATATAAAACAAACTAAATGAGAATTATAAACATGGAAATAGCGCACATAACTAAACATATAAAACAAAGTAAATTTATAAAGTAGACTCATTTGAACAGCTGACTATTTTTTTTAAACTTGCTATTTGTGGACTTACTTGTCAAAAATGTTTATGTTGCCATATTTGTTTTCATTTTAACGCTTGCTTTTGTACAAATTTCTGAGTAATTTGTTGTATTTAATGTGAAAAAGTGTATTTTAAATGTATAATATTTTTAAAAATGTTCTAATTTTTAAAAAATATAGAAAACTCTGTGACTTTTAATATAAATAACAACATATTTTTGGAAAGTACAACAATAATGCCATATTTTCCATTAATTATTGGTTCATTTTTGTAAACAAATTTTGACAAGTGAGTATTTCGAACAAAAACAAATTGCCTGTGGTTTTTGTAGACGTTTGTTGTACAACAACTCGTGTCGCTACTTTATTAATTTACTTTGATATAAAATAAAGAAAATATTAAAATTCACAGCAATTCAAAAGACAACCACCATTTGAGATAACATATGTGTTCAGGGTTGGAATGTTTACATTAGTGTGGGATTTAAGCACAGATAAAGACAAATGCAGGGTACACTGGACAAATGTGTGTTTAATTATTTTAATAGAAAAAGATTTTTATAATTACTTCAAATAGTAATAAATACATCTATATCAATATCTTTATATTCATAAGACAGTATATGAAGACAAAAACAAGATAATACAATCTTATAATGATTAATTTTATTACTATCATCATCAAAATTTATAAATGTTTTAATTCTAATAAGAAAACAGTTTGCGTTTTATATTATATACATAGGTAGAAAAAAACCTAAAACAAGTACTTAAGGTTGTTGTACAACAAGTTCTAACATAATTTTATTAATAGTTACACTTTCATACTACATATTGAATAACACGTGTAAAGTGAAATAACACAAAACTTCCATCTTTGTATCAATAGCGTTGCCATTCTTCTTAATTTTCACGTTAGATTTAGTGCTTTTTAGCCGAAAGTCATGTTTATTTTTTAAGATATTTTAATGTTAATACATATTTTTGAAACTAAATAATTTTATAAAGTTCTTTCGAAACTAAAAGAAGAAAATGTAAAAAATCATAATAAAAAGATGTTTTTAAATTACAAATATAAAATTTAAGCAACGCGTTGTATGCTTTTCAAACTTTTCGTGCTTTACAAGCTGCAAGTTACACATCACGCGTCATTTTGATCTTTATTTTAATGTTATTTAAGACTATTACGGTGTTAAAAATAAAAATTTTAAGTTTTTGTTTATTTTTTAATATTTTTCTTCCATTGTTGGTGAAATTTATTTAATTTTAATTTATTCTTATTCAACACAAAACAAAATACAACCCTGATCAGCTGCCGACGCGTCAAAAGTTGAAAGTTGCTTAACTTTTCGCAGTACAGTGTGTAACTTGTTAAATGTTAAACTATTTCAACTTTTTTTGACAGAAGCCTATAACGCGTTGCCGCTTACAAAGCTTATTGTTTACTTCCACCTTAAAAGTGCCCACTGTAACGTTATTTACCGTGTGATAGTAGAAATACTTTATATATACACACAGAAAACAGATCGATTGGAAATCGGTTACCATGATAAATATTTAGTTAAATTAATTAAAATTGTATCGCTGTTATTGAAAAACTGTATAATTAACCGATTTTCTATACTCAGTATTAAAAAACCATAATAATAATCGAATTGTGGTTTTAACAATTTCCAAATCAATAATTTGAACTGAATTGTATCGGTTATTAAATTCTTTTATTAATTCAGTAAATGCAGCCGAATTTTATTTAGGATTAAAACTTTAGAACGTCAAATATTAGTCGCTGTAACCGAAAATCAGTAGAAAGTAAAAAATATTGATCATTGCAACCAATTATCAATTGGGAAAATTATTTAAAAAACTATTGCGGTTAAAGGATCCAAATTCGGTGTTCACAACCGATTATTTGATAATTATAGTTGACGTTAACAAAAATAAATAAAATAAAACGAATTTATAATTAAAAAAAAATCTAATTACATTTGAAGATAACTTAATGCTGATAAAAAAAAGGTAATGTTTAGTCCATTATATATCTTAAAATCTATTGTGGTTATTTTCAATAATTTTTAATCATTTTACAGCAGCGGAAAAGCGTGGAAAGGTAGCTTTGGAAATGTTGGACAGTATGAAGAGCAAAATCCCAAGTACATACCACCAAAATCTCAAAACAAGAAGGGAAATGTTGCTGGTTTATATTTATAAGTTTGTATTTACATACATACATACATACATACATACATACATATTCATATTTTATTGTAAATGTTTTAAACAAAATAAAATGTATTTTAAAATACACATAATCCACAAATTGGTTTTCAATAAATAATATTTCAGTTGCGTATACCGATAATTTCAATCCAGATTACCGAATAATAATTTAAAATAGTTGTGTACACCATATATTCAGTAATAGTAAACGAATTTTACAGTAATTACAATCGAATTATGGCATAGTTGTGAGAACCGACTGAATTCGATTGGAAACAAATTCGGTTGTCACAATGAATCTGTTTTCTCTGTGTATATTTAAGAAACATATATGGCTCAAATCAAAAAAAAATGTTTTTAATTGGCCAATTTTGGATAGGGCTGAAGGGGGCAATGTCCACTTAAATGAGCCGAATTTTATTTTACACACTTCTATATTAAGTTTTCTTTTCGGATCATACAAAGTTTGTATATTGTACCGAAGAAAATTTATTTTTATAAAAGAAAGATTAAAGCGCATTTTTTATAAATAAACCTAAAATATACATATGTCCCTTTTTACATGTTTCAACTTTGGATGCGTCTAACTTTTTATAGGGATATGATAACTGTTGAGGAAATTTTTGTTATTTTATTTAAAATTTTGTTTTAAAACTAGAGAATATTTTTTAAAAATTTTACGACCCTCCATATGTTCGCCACATTTAAAAACTGAAAATAGATCGGGCAAATTTAAGAATAAAAAATTTAAACCTAGATATCTCTTTAAGTGAAATAGATAAAAATTTCAGTTCATTCAGATAATAAATGGATTTTTTGGCGATTAAAAAAAATAATAAACGAAGTAATCAAATTTTAGGATCTACCCTCTGGCCCCTATTCCGCCTTCGATCACCTATAACTGTCAATCAGCTCGAAAATACCTGAGCTCGATATATCTAATAGTTCCAGTGATACCGAACTATTTCCAAAAATAAAAGTTTATAAACCACTGTGCGACGTTTAAAAAGTATAATATTATTAAAGTTTTAAGTCCGTCTGCAATAAAACAAAATCGTTATATATTTTGTATTTTTTTGGATTTCTTACAAGTCCACTTAGTTAGGACAAAATATTTAACTTCGATTTTTCGACAAAAAGTAGAGTTATAAAATCCTACTCGTAACAGCTTTATATTCCATTAAAATTTAACTAAAAATCTTTATTAATCTATAAAAATTCATCTGGCAGCACTGAATATTTGCAATAAAAAAAATACAAAACAGCAGCAGTGATGAGTAAAATTAATAAGTTGTACACTTTGTGGTACTATTTGCCGGTTCACACAGGGAAACATGTTTTGGGAAACTTTTGATTTTGAGTGTGAGAAGAAGAAAACAAAATATCAAGCATTTCTTTCTTACACAAACACACAAAATCAAAAGTTTCCCAAAAAAAGTTTTTCTGTGTGAACCGGCACTATTTAGTACATTTGCTTATAAAGTATTTAGAGGCCTTTTGTCTTGTAACATTGTAAGATAAAGCGTTGCCAGATAATTGTCCGACTATTTTTATTGTCAGATGTGGAAAGTTTATGAATCCATTGTCAGATAAAAGTTTTCTATTGGTGACATGGTGAATTAAAGGTACATATGGAGCTAAAATAAGATCTGGCAACTTTTGCGATACAATAATCTGACAACTATCTGTCAATTGTCTGGCAATGAAATTGTAAGGTTTTCTTACTGCCGGTCCACACTAGGAAACTTTTGATTTTGCGTGAGAGGGAAAAAGAGAAAGAGTATCATTCATCTCTCGGTACGGAGTTTCTCGTACTCAGAAACTTGTTTTGTTATTCTTCTCATTCATACAACAACAAATCAATGCAATTAATACGTAGTATCTGAAAAAAAAGTTTCTATGTGTGGACATTAGGGAAACTTCAAAAGAGAATTAAGAAAAAGTTTCTCAACAAAAGTTTCATAGTGTGGACCAGGTCTAAGATCTAGCAACTTTTGCGATACAATAATCTGACAACAGTGTCAACTGACAATTATTGGTGACGGATAAATTTATTTGTCTGGCAATGAAATTGTAAGGTTTTCTTATAAACATCTGAACTGACAATTTATCTATTGCTAACAATTTGTCATTGTCCATTACATTGCCAGATCTGCCAACGTTGTAAGGTCTGACAACCATGTATACATAGCTTCACAAAGATATCAAGAAATTAGCAAGCAAAATGTTTCAAGATATACTATTATTCTAATTCAAGTACAATTTGTCTAAATCGAAAAAGTACCATTCAAAAATCCCATCCCAAATTCTTTGATTCGTCATTATAGTAGAAATTGCAAAACATACAAACAAACAGCGGGTATTCGTATATCTCATGAGTCATGACTTGCTAAAACAGAACAAAAATACAAATTTTTGTTCACCAAACACATGTTGATTGGCTATAGCCACGGTTGCAGCAACAACAAATCATACACATTCAAACATACTTATGTTTTCAGCACCATACTTTAGTATAGCGCTAGTAAGGGGTTGTTTTTGTAATTTATTATCGCACATTTTTAAACGTTTGAAGTTGAATATATAAAAAATTTTGAATTTCATCGTATAATTCTCATTTAGTTTATTCTTTCTTTGGCATAAGCAATTGAGTTTGACGATGGAAAAGTTATCGCTTCTCGGCCTTATGGCTAAGATCAAAGTGTAGTATCTGTTCTTATCAGCTTAACATCTGATAGATCCTCCATCGGAGGACAACAAATGTTAAACTGATTTTTGGAAATAGACGGGATGTTTAGGGGCTTGCTCCACTCCTGTCACGGGTTGGCCCGGTATTGCAGTACCGCCGGGATTTCGGCCCAAATTAATAATAAATTTCAAATTAAAAGGAAAATACAAAGAAATAGTTGGATCGAAGGTGTGTCAAGTTTTCAATGTGATCTTTGTATTGCCGCCGGCTTTTTTTTAGGGAAAATTAATTACCCACCAACCAGTGTTGCCATATATTTTTTGAAGAAAACTTTTTATTTTTATGAAAAAAAACTTTTTTTGTACTAAAATTACAAAATACCCAAGAAAAATTAGTGAAAAAATGAGCAAATTGAGGAATTTTAAATAGCTTAATGATAATTGGTACAGAACCAATGTTGCCACAACAAAATTTTTTTTCTAACCAAAATTCGAATAAAAAATAACCAAATTAAGAAAAAAGTAAACAAAATAATTTTTATTTGTTTCATGTTTACATTTGGACATTAAAATAACAAATTCATTTTCTGAAGTGGAACTTGTAACTATGTTAAATTTCGTCGCTAAACTGGTATTATGAAGACAGTTATGAGCGTTAATGTAATTTTCTGTACGGTCAATTATGGACCAATTCTCATAAAATCTGACAGAGATAATATTTCAGTTCCTTTAAAACTTGATTATGTTGAATTTTGCTGCTATATTGAGCTTTAAAGTCATTTTCTGAGGAGACTTTTTATGAGGGATAGAGTCAATTATGTACCGATCCTCATAAACTTTGACAAATACATTTCCAATAAAACTTTTTTATATTGAATTTCATCGCTATCGCTGATTTTTTAAGCAATATAGTAATTTTCTGAATAGGGCATAATATGGGGGCTAAGTAGGGTTGCCAGATTCCGATTCGCAAAAAGCTGGACATCGGGTTTTAAAAAGCTGGACAAAACAAAAAAAGCTGGACATAAAAAAATACCGAGAAAATGTTAATTTTGGTTTTGTGTAAATATTTTCACAGTGATACACCAAAAAAATGCAGGGGTTCTCATATACCAATTCCGTTTTGTTATAGTCCATATAGTACGAATATATTTTTAGTTTTCCCCGATCACTTCGTTAACTTAGTTTTTAAGAGCAAAAGATGTGAAGAAGCTCCATTTTTGAAGTTTTAAATTTTAAAAATCATAAGTACGTAAGCTGTACGTAAAGAAATTGACTATCGCTCGCAATAATATGTCTTTTCGCGTACTTTCCTGTAAGAAATATCCAGTAACTTTATGATAGAGAGCCAATTTTTTAAAAAAAAATGTGGAAGTTTTTGTTTATAAACAAAGATTAGTAATGCCCTTTTGCTGAAATCTCAAAAAAACAAATAATTGAAACTTTGATTTTAATTATAAATAAATGGATATTTAAAGTTAACAAAATATGTAGTATCATTAAAAATATATTACTGTTTTAAAACTTTATGATACAAACATATTATTAAAATAAAAATTTACACAAAATCGCTAAGAGAAAGACAAACTAAATTGGTTTAAAAACGCCAGATTGACAATATTTGTTATGATTTTTCACAACAAATAAACTCTTTTAAAAACTAATTTATGATAAATAAAATTAAAATAAATCTAATTACAAATAATTTTTTAATATTCGTGTGTTATTAATTTATATATTTCTTTCAAAAAATTTAAAATTTACCAAATTTTCGATTTCTTTGGTTTGTTTACATATTCATAAAACAAACATATGTTGTGAATATAAGTTGGATATTTTTTACTGGGGAAAAAATATCCAGTAAAATCAAAAAATTCTCTATCAACGAACTGTAATTTTTATGGCTCGAACGCGAACGGAATCCAGTAACAATTGTTGCAAATTGTTACAAATTATCGAGTACGCGAACAGACCTAATATTTATTACGACATCAGCTGTTCAAGTGTTGAGACATGATGATAGAAGAGGGAAATCATAACTTAGTTGTATAACAAATGTACAATCAGTGTTGGCTAACATGATTTGACAAAGATAACATAAAAATTATTACAGTGTGCTAAAAAAAATTCTATTTAGCTGGACAAATTAAATTTTAGCTTGAAACTGGACAAGCATCAAAAAAGCTGGACAATCCAGACAAGTCCAGCCTGGCTGGCAACCCTAGGGCTAAGTGAAATCGTTGACCGATATTTCGCATTTTCAATACCAATCAAACTGGGTCAATTAAAAATATTTTGGCAAAATATTTCAGTTTTCAATTTTGTTTCTTATCGTGTTTTCAACAATAAATATATGTCTCTTCGCGGATTCGTTATCAAATGTAATTAATATTTATTTTAAAAAGTAACTGAGTTTTTAACGCGTTTTAGCGCAATTCAAAAATACTCCACACTGACTTTTTGGAAAACAATTTTAAATTATAAAATTCTTCCCATTTTATGTACAGATTTGGAGAGTTCGTTCGAAATTTGGGTTTAAATTATAATACCATGTAGCGGATGTTAACATTAAATTCATAACTTCAGCAATATTTGTAAACGTAATCTATCCAAATTATCCGACAAATTGACCAAAATTTAGAATTTAAGACGGTAAAATAAAAACTAGTATACAACATCATCTAGAAAATGTAAATAAAGAACTAAAAGTCATGGTGAGATAGTAGAAGTCAAAGGTCATGAGTATCAAATCTTTGCATATATCGCGATTATTGTTCGTCGTACGAGTTTAGAAATATTACAACTTTTGTATACAATACAATTTCATTTTCCTTAGCATTGTTACTTAAAAATATCAGTTGATTGATACTTTAAAGATATTGTGATACTATTCTTGCATCAATTTGCAGAAAATACTTTATTAATTCTTATTAAATCATTTATCTTTGAATTTCGGAAATTAGCACAGTATCTGTTTATGCAAAATTTCAAATAGGTATAGAAGTTGGAATTAAATAATAATAATATTACGGTGTTGTTATGATTTAAATCAACTCATTTAATATGTGGAAAACTCATAGGTACTTTTGCTAAATCCTAACCAATTAAGATATCGAAAAATATCTTTTTGCACATCATAAGTATAACCAGTAGATGTACAAATTGCAGTAGTAAAAAAATTTTGAATAGTAAAAAAACAAATTCCACATATTACCAAAATTCAAAACAGGACGATATGTATATTTACATAGTTGATTTAAAACTAGAGATAAAAGAAGTTTTTTTTAATTTTATTTTTAGAATAAAAGCAAACAGTATTTAGTTCAATTGTTTGCAAAAAATAACCAAAACGAAAAAATAATTCACATGTACACATGCAAAATAAAAATAACCAATTTTGGTTAATAATAACCAAAGTGGCAACACTGTACAGAACTTTTCCTTAACATCAGTAGCAAGGAATTACTGGATATTGTGGTCTTAGACACCATAAATTTACACTTGAAATGTCATGATGAATCTATGTAGATTCTGTGTATTACAAGAGGAAACCTCTGAACTTTTGTAACTACCCGTCATTGGGAACTCGAAACACGAAGATTTTGTCTTACGCAGACCCAGATGATATCTTCAAACACTCACCGATTAATCCATTTATCTTCATGCGCGAATTTGGCCTAGTATGGTGAACCAATGGGCTGCACAAAATCTCTACAATATGGTCGAAGTGCATTGTGTCCTTAACGTCTATTCTAAGGGATTAAGGTCATCAACACCGGTAAATTTTTTCAGTTTTTAGGAATATCTCGAATATTAATGGTATAAAATATTATTTTGTTAATGGTAAACATTGTTCTTTTATTTTAAACTTATTTATTGATTAAATAAAATAAAAACTGAAAAACTGTATAAATTTTCAAAAAACTTTTTTTATGGAATAAAACTTGAAAACTTTTTTGAATCTCAAAAAACTTGCAAAAAAAGGGAAAACTTGACATATGGTAACACTGCCCACCAACTTTGTCCGATTAATCGTAAATAACTATGAGTTTAAGTAATAATATCGAAACAAAATTTGTCTTAAAGTGTTTTGTATGTCCATATGATATCTTTTTCTCCGATCGACCCGCAATTGGTTATAGCTCCCAAATAAAGATCTTTTATGAAGGTCAATTAATAGTTTAATTAATTTTGCGAAATTTTCACCAGATCGGTCCATAATTATACCATTCAATGATATCGGTGAAGAGTATATTAAGGGCTAGTAAATTTTAAAATATTGTTTAAAATGACTTATTTTTATTAACTGATTAACATTCCAAATTTTTCCAGATTCAAGTTGTGAATGGGGTTATCCTGATATCGTGGCGTCAGTCGGTGTTACAGAAACAAATCGATTATGGTGCCAAATTAGGACATGTTGTACTCTCCTTAGCCAAAATGGAATTAGATAATTTCTTTAAAAATGTCATGCCAGTAGCTGATTATTTTGATCAAAGTGATATGTTAATAGCGGTGAGTAACAACAACCTATCACTTAATATAACGGATATTTGAAAATGAAAAATTATCATTCGATTTTCAGGTGAATGGCGAGCGAGCGCCCTCTGAAGTGTACAAAGATTTCCGTACGGCTGTGCTTGACATACTGAGTACATTGGAAAATCAGGAGGCCATTCTAAATGGAGTAACAGGTATGGGCAGAGGGATTAATGATATACCCGGCAGTATAGTTAGCGTAGATACGGCACCTAGTCAAGCACAGAATATTCCAGGGATCTCTAATCATAACCCTGCTCCAATTTCAACAGTTTTATCACAGAATCAGCAACAACAACAGCCCGCTACAGTGCCACAGATGTCGGAGGATCCATCTAGAAATATAACCAATGCAGTGATTTCGCATATAGCCTCGAATGCAGCCCAGGCGGTGGCGGTAACGGGGGCCCCCGATGTTATAACCCAACAGCCGATGCTGACAAATGCTGCCACCTCCATGAGTACAGATGTGCAAGGCTTACCACCGGTTATATGGGTTATAGGAGGACCGGGTAGCAATAAGGCCACATTGTGTATGAAGGCAGTGGGCTTAAATCCGGGATGGGCTCATTTTAGGTAAGTTATGGACATGAGAAATGAAGTATATTAATAAAGTTATGGTTTAATTTGTATGATTTAGTGTGGGTCGCTTGTTACGCTCGATTACCGATTCAGCACCACGTGCCAATACCGAAAGCTATGCCGTGAAAGAAGCTTTAGCTGCTGGCGAAATGGCTCCGGAAAAAGCCCTTAATATTATATTGGAAACGAATTTAAAACAATATGCCAATAAAAGTGGCATCATAATAGATGGCTTTCCCCGGAATATGCAACAGGTTAAATATTTTGAAGATAAGGTGGGTGAAAAGACAAGGAATTGGCAAAAATTTTGAATAATAACTTTAATTTGAAATTTTTTTCAGTACAAACAACGTCCCCCTATAATATTATTGGATTGTTCTAAACTACAATTAGGCAGAGGACGTATAGATGATACGGTGTCCTCATTCCGCCGACGTTTGGAACTGTTTCGTGAACAAACTTTACCCATGCTTAAGGCCATGGATAATAGTAATCGTTTACAAATTGTAGGTATTCTTGTTTGAATAACACATAACGGGTCTAAAGTAACTACTATTACAGATTGATGGCGACACCGATAGTCCCTCGGTTCAGCGAGAATTTGAGAAATCAATACGCAATCATATACAAAATCTCACAGGCAACCAAATGAATCATAATGTGCAGCAGCCAATGAGTAGACAACCAGCGCCTGTGGATCAAACCGATGCCATACTACAGGATCTGGAGAATAATATGCCTGGTGCAGTGCCAACTATAAGCCATCATGTTAGTCTCATGAATGGTCATATCAAAAATCGTAACACAAGTGCTAATAATCATTTAGCCAATAACAATAACTACAATAATAAAAACACAAGTCACATGAACGGTGATATTGGACAAACCGGACAGAGAATGGATTTCCGACATATGCTAGAGGAAGCCGAACGTTATCCGGTAGATTCGTATATGTAAAAAATCGAGAAAAAAAGAATAAAATCTAAATCAAATTCAACTAATAATTAGTTAAATAATTGAAGTATTTTATTACATTAAACAAATATTAATTATACAGAATAAACAGTTTTGTTGGGAGAAACATTTTGTCAAAGCAATAAAAAACAGTTTGATTAAAACAACTTGTTTGCTTTAACCCTATAAAGGTTTTCTAAGCCAGAAAGTTTGTCCCTGTTTTAGCCATGAATTTTGTTTCAACCACCAAACTGTTTCTCTAAGTGTAGACACCGCAAAAAAGGGAAACAATTTTTTTAAATTAAACCGCAAATAAAAATTAATTATAATTAAGAAATTTCTTTAATTAATTGAAAAATACTTAACTAATGCAAGTATTTCAATGGTTTTGAGCTTTAAAACAAAATTTATATTTAAATCTAGTTTATTTTATTAAAAATATAAAAAAATAGACAAAATATTTTAGGTTGAGTTTTTGAAAATTTTTAATTTTTTAAGTATAAAATTTATAATAAAACACTTACACCCTTAATTATATACATACTTAAACAAAATCTAATATAGAATAGTTCGTTTAATAGTATTAATTATTATTATATAAACTTAAGTAAAATATTTGAAATGTGGACCAAGTCTGGCACTTGTGTTTAGTAAATTTCAATAATTATATTTAACTACTTAAATATTTATGTTGAAAATTTTAGATTTTGGTTTAAAATTTTAGTTATAACATTTAATTTTTGATTTTAAAATACATATTTTGATAAATTATTAATTACAGGTTTTAGTCTAATATATAGTTTTTAGATTCTAATATTTTTAAGTTGTTTGTTGAACATATAAATAAATTAATAAAGTGAAATTAAAAAAAATTAATTGTTTAATTAATTTAAAATTTCTTCTATAACATTTTTAACTCGAAGTCGAAAGTATAGATTTCTAAAAGATCAGATTTTTGAGATATCCTGTCCTAAAGTTTTATTTATAGCATTAGTTATGTCTGTGGGTTATAATCTGTGGTGTAGCCAATGTTTTTCCGTTATTTCCGGTTACAAAACGGCTAGAACCCGCAAGATTAGACTATAGACTAGACTAAAGACTAGACTATATACTAGACTATATATTAGACTATATATTAGACTATAGACTAGATTATAGACTAGACTATAGACTAGACTATACTACACTATAGACTAGATTAAAGACTACACTATAGACTAGACTAGACTATAGACTAGACTAGACTATAGACTAGACTATAGACTAGACTATAGACAAGACTATAGACTAGACTAGACTATAGACTAGACTAGACTATAGACTAGACTAGACTAGACTAGACTAGACTAGACTAGACTAGACTAGACTAGACTAGACTAGACTAGACTATAGACTAGACTAGACTATAGACTAGACTAGACTAGACTATAGACTAGACTAGACTAGACTAGACTAGACTAGACTAGACTAGACTAGACTAGACTAGACTAGACTAGACTAGACTAGACTAGACTAGACTAGACTAGACTAGACTATAGACTAGACTAGACTATAGACTAGACTATACTATAGACTAGACTATAGACTATAGACTAGACTATATACCAGACTATATATTAGACTATATACCAGACTATATATTAGACTATATACTAGACTATAGACTAGATTATAGACTAAACTATAGACTACACTACACTATAGACTAGATTAAAGACTACACTATAGACTAAACTATAGAACAGACAATAGACTAGACTAGACTATAGACTAAACTATAGACTAGACTACACTACACTATAGACTAGATTAAAGACTACACTATAGACTAAACTGTAGAACAGACTATAAACTTGACTACACTACACTATAGACTAGACTATAGACTAGACTAAAGACTAGACTACAGACTAGACTACAAACTAGACTACAGACTAGACTATAGACTAGACTATAGACTAGACTATAGACTAGACTATAGACTAGACTATAGACCAGACTATAGACTACACTATAGACTAGACCATAGACTAGACTATAGACTAGACTAAAGACTAGACTATAGACTAGACTATAGACTAGACTATAGACTAGACTATAGACTAGACTATAGACTAGACTATAGACTAGACTATAGGCTAGACTATAGACTAGACTATAGACTAGACTATAGACTAGACTATAGGCTAGACTATAGACTAGACTATAGACTAGACTAGACTATAGACTAGACTAGACTATACACTAGACTATAGACTAGACTATATACTAGACTATAGACTAGACTATAGACTAGACTATAGACTAGACTATAGACTAGACTATAGACTATAGACTAGACTATAGACTAGACTATAGACTAGACTATAGACTAGACTATAGACTAGACTATAGACTAGACTATAGACTAGACTATAGACTAGACTATAGACTAGACTATAGACTAGACTATAGACTAGACTATAGACTTGACTATAGACTAGACTATAGACTAGACTATAGACTTGACTATAGACTAGACTATAGACTTGACTATAGACTAGACTATAGACTAGACTATAGACTAGACTAAAGACTATACTATAGACTAGACTATAGACTAGACTAAAGACTATACTATAGACTAGACTATAGACTAGACTATAGACTAGACTATAGACTAGACTATAGACTAGACTATAGACTAGACTAAAGACTAGACTATAGACTAGACTATTGACTAGACTATAGACTAGACTATAGGCTAGACTAAAGACTATAGACTAGACTATAGACTAGACTAGACTAGACTAGACTATAGACTAGACTATAGACTAGACTAGACTATAGACTAGACTATAGACTAGACTATAGACTAGACTATAGACTAGACTATAGACTAGACTATAGACTAGACTATAGACTAGACTATAGACTAGACTATAGACTATAGACTAGACTATAGACTAGACTATAGACTAGACTATAGACTAGACTATAGACTAGACTATAGACTAGACTATAGACTAGAATATATACCAGAGTATAGACTAGACTAGACTTTAGACTTTAAAAAATGTACGCTTTATGATGACTTGTACTTATCCAACAACTTAGTTTTCAATGACTACTACGTAACATATGTTTCTTCGAAGGTCTCTAGTAATTTTGAGTTTAAAATTTTTAGACTCGTGAATCCCTTAACTTGCAATATAGGATTATTTTGCCACACGTGTTCTATTTATTTGCAAATAAGTTGTTATTGATATCGTCTCTGATAGACTAGACTATAGACTAGACTATAGACTAGACTATAGACTAGACTATAGACTAGACTATAGACTAGACTATAGACTAGACTATAGACTAGACTATAGACTAGACTATAGACTAGACTATAGACTAGACTATAGACTAGACTATAGACTAGACTATAGACTAGACTATAGACTAGACTACTAGACTAGACTATAGACTAGACTATAGACTAGACTATAGACTAGACTATAGACTAGACATAATAGACTAGACTAACTAGACTAGACTATAGACTAGACTATAGACTAGACTACCTATAGACTAGACTATAGACTAGACTATAGACTAGACTATAGACTAGACTAGACTAGACTATAGACTAGACTATAGACTAGACTATAGACTAGACTATAAGACTAGACTATAGACTAGACTATAGACTAGACTATAGACTAGACTATAGACTAGACTATAGACTAGACTATAGACTAGACTATAGACTAGACTATAGACTAGACTATAGACTAGACTATAGACTAGACTATAGACTAGACATAGACTAGACTATAGACTAGACTATAGACTAGACTATAGACTAGACTATAGACTAGACTATAGACTAGACTATAGACTAGACTATAGACTAGACTATAGACTAGACTATAGACTAGACTATAGACTAGACTATAGACTAGACTATAGACTAGACTATAGACTAGACTATAGACTAGACTATAGACTAGACTATAGACTAGACTATAGACTAGACTATAGACTAGACTATAGACTAGACTATAGACTAGACTATAGACTAGACTATAGACTAGACTATAGACTAGACTATAGACTAGACTATAGACTAGACTATAGACTAGACTATAGACTAGACTATAGACTAGACTATAGACTAGACTATAGACTAGACTATAGACTAGACTAGACTATAGACTAGACTAGACTATAGACTAGACTAGACTATAGACTAGACTAGACTATAGACTAGACTAGACTATAGACTAGACTAGACTATAGACTAGACTAGACTATAGACTAGACTATAGACTAGACTAGACTATAGACTAGACTATAGACTAGACTATAGACTAGATATAGACTAGACTATAGACTAGACTATAGACTAGACTATAGACTAGACTATAGAATAGACTATAGACTAGACTATAGACTAGACTATAGACTAGACTATAGACTAGACTATAGACTAGACTATAGACTAGACAATAGAGACTATGAACTGACTTGACTAGATATAGACTAGACTATAGACTAGACTATAGACTAGACTATAGACTAGACTATAGACTAGACTATAGACTAGACTATAGACTAGACTATAGACTAGACTATAGACTAGACTATAGACTAGACTATAGACTAGACTATAGACTAGACTATAGACTAGACTAGACTAGACTATAGACTAGACTATAGACTAGACTATAGACTAGACTATAGATAGACTATAGACTAGACTATAGAATAGACTATAGACTAGACTATAGACTAGACTATAGACTAGACTATAGACTAGACTATAGACTAGACTATAGACTAGACTATAGACTAGACTATAGACTTGACTATAGACTAGACTATAGACTAGACTATAGAATAGACTATAGACTAGACTATAGACTAGACTATAGACTAGACTATAGACTAGACTATAGACTAGACTATAGACTAGACTATAGACTAGACTATAGACTAGACTATAGACTAGACTATAGACTAGACTATAGACTAGACTATAGACTAGACTATAGACTAGACTATAGACCTAGACTATAGACTAGACTATAGACTAGACTATAGACTAGACTATAGACTAGACTATAGACTAGACTATAGACTAGACTAATAGACTAGACTATAGACTAGACTATAGACTAGACTATAGACTAGACTATAGACTAGACTATAGACTAGACTATAGACTAGACTATAGACTAGACTATAGACTAGACTAAGACTAGACTATAGACTAGACTATAGACTAGACTATAGACTAGACTATAGACTAGACTATAGACTAGACTATAGACTAGACTATAGACTAGACATAGACTAGACTATAGACTAGACTATAGACTAGACTATAGACTAGACTATAGACTAGACTATAGACTAGACTAATAGACTAGACTATAGACTAGACTATAGACTAGACTATAGACTAGACTATA